ATCTTGGTTAGAAGGGCTTGCTATTAATTGAATAATGTATTTTATTTTAGCTACCGCGAATTAAAGTATTTGAGAAGGCATTTAATGATATCCGATTGACAACATCAATTAAGAATTGTTATTGAAACCAAACATGAATGTGTTAAAGAGCCAATTAAGTCTATCATGACGTTTGTATATTCAAGAATTGAAATTGATATAAAAAAAATCATCAGCTGTTGTCATCGTAATCGGCTAAGGAAGAGAATGAATTTGTCTGACGTAAAACAAATACAACAAAAATAAGAAATTAAGATTACCCTGATCAAATTAAAGCTTTTGATTAAAATGAATATATCATGAAGTACCTTGTTGTTAATTGTTGTTGTAGTTATTCACTTTTATGTGGATCACCTAAAATAGTAATGCGATCTAAACTTCCTCTTTCATATCAGTGACTAGAGACAATCTTGGCTTTCGCATCAATTGTGTAATATTAGTATTAATGAAATTCTACTAGTTTTTGCTGTAGCTAAGACTTCTTCTTGGGATCATTACTAGCGCATCATGGTTAGAAAAGATTTCAGAATCAGGATATTCTATTATCCTGTAAAAGCAATCATAATTCACATTAAAAAGACACGAGGAAATAAATAGCCATCCTAGGCTACCTTTTGTAAATAACTATAATCTACGCCCTTAAAAGTAGCTACCGATGACACCATGTAATGAAAATATGGCATGGCCTCACTCTAATAGCTCTAGCACCAGTTCTGTCTTTAAAATAGTAGTCTGCATTTTGAGGAGGATGAATATGAGAAAAAGAATCTTCTAAATGGAACTAGAGAACTGTCTGTAATCTACGGCATGAGTAACCAGCATTAGCATATGCTATCAAAGCTATTGCTGTAAATACAGTTATTACTGTAATAAAATAAAATTAGTAATTTAGAAGCTGATCCTTTTTAAAACTATTATTGCAAGGTATTTATCAAGTTAATGTATACTACACTGTACTCGCTTAAATTTGCGAAATAGAATAATATATTGCACAATATATAAAACGATTCCCGTAATACATATCCTGAATACTCAATAAAAATGATAAAGGCTTAATGATAACGACCTAGACCAGCATGGTTACAAAGTGTGTAGCATCATTTTTTCAGTAAAATACGTCAATATAAATTGTATAATGTAAGCTAAAGTTATGGTAGTTGTTCTTTAATAGAATTGCCCGATTTTTTAGCTCTGTTATCGTTATTGGCTTCTATTGAAGCCTAATGTAGAACTATACTGAAATTAAATCTAGTTTACAAACTATGTTGAAAAAAATAATTAATGAAACGGCATAGAAAATAGGATCATGATAATTCTTATTTACTATGTCGGTAATTTATCGTGGAGCTAATCAACATTCAGTCTAATCTTTTTCATTACTATTGATAATAGAGTATAATCTAATGAAAGAACTATGTAATTACCGGTAAATTGGGTATATCGAAAACTGAATATCAACAAGGAAGTAGTTACTCGAAAATAGATTTTTATTTAATTGTGATAGAGATAAAACCGTAGCCACCGAATAGATTTGATAACACTTGTTAATCGAGACCTTCATCATCAATGTGAAAATTTTATATCATTACTATACTTGCTTATGATAAAAAATTATATCGCCTGTAGTAATCAATACTAATAACTGATTTACGTGGAGTACTGATATTGTGATTATATTTCCACCATAGCAATACAACAATCATCTGTTTGAATAGTTGGTGTGGACAATAACGATCGCTCGGGAAGTAGCTCATTAAATGTAATAAATAGCTTTTCTAGCCCCACTGATATGAGTACTTGTATAGTAGTTGTAATTGGCAATGTATAGATAAACGCTTTGAATCGATTTATGAAGCTACCAGTATAACAATAATTGATATTAAACACAACATATTCCTTTCATAACATGCTAAAGATATCATGAACAAAGACTTGACTATAATCATAAAATAGTTGATGACCGTCTGATTAATGTTAACATACGAATGCCATGCCAAAAAATAAATAACTAGATTTCATTGAATTGGCAACAATCAATCAAAACCATATTGTTTTTAGGTCTAGGCATTCTTTCATTATTGTGCAATATTCAAACTGCTTAGCTTTATTTGATGATGATGATACTTTGAATTGTTTTTCTTCCACTCCCCTCTTCATTTCCCTCAGAACTACGTATCTTTTCATCGTGATAAATACTATGTATTGGTATACCAGAGAAATGGAAAATAGTGCAAAAAAAATTGCAATCTGCATGACAATTAATTGTATCAGCATTTCTTTGACGGTCCATCTTTTCAACTAAGTTGAAATGAGATCTTTTTTATCTTCTTTATCATCATAGCGACGATTATTATTATTTTCATTAATTTAATCATTAAGTTCATCATCTAACTAAACTATTTAGTAACAATGCCTATGAAATGAGTCCGTAATCTAACAATCAATCGATTAATTGATGATATTATCTATCTCAACAGTTTTATCATGATGATCACTATTGCATTTGTTTTTTTAACTCCTAAAATACAGTATTAAATAGTATTAGTATCAACTTACTTAAAGGCAAAAAATAATAATTGAGCTTACTGTCATAATATTGGGGAAATATTAGGAAAAAAGAGGAGGAGATAAAGAAAAAAATTGTTACTTATAAATTGACATAGAGAAAGAAACTATTTCATGCTCTGTAACAACTTAATTTCATACTATCTATGGCTAACTTTTGAAAATTTTTGGAATTTCCCACACCTTCTCAAATAAGACTATCTGGACATACTATATGCTAATATAAGTCAACTTTATTTCTTTTCTTTCCCCTTAACGTCTCATCAAAAGTACATAACGTATAGAAAAAGAATGCCATTCTATTCATCATTATAATCAATCGGATTGGTAATAATACGTTGTTTACCTAGTGGGCTGACTATGAGTAAAAGGTTGCGTGACGACTATGACTGCACATTAATGATATTATTCTAACAGTACCACATTTATCGTAACAAATCAATTCCATCATTGTTTAAACATGCTATAATTACTGTGGACATATCAACATTGGGTAACACTTTTTCTCCTGCACGTCTAGTCACTACCATCGCGTTGAATATGTATTAGTTTCCTGACTAATTTCTTTACCGTCTCAATTTACTTACTGCTACTGTTTAGAGGAAAAACTAGATTAAAAATTGAATCAGTCTGCTCTTGTGCCCAAATTACTTTCTTCGTTCTTCATCAGTTTACTCTAATGATATCATCAATACTGAAAGAAAGTTATACCTTGTAAAGTCATTTCTGGGATATCTTCATCAAATTGAGTTGAATTTCGAATATTCCTTCTGTGTTTTCATGTAAGTTCACATTCTATCATGACTCTGTTTATTAATGCGCTAACTCTTGAAAAAATATTTATAAGTAGAATAATTATTCTTTCAAAAATGCATTTAGTCTTCTTCTATCTAATTTTTTCCTTTCCATATCATTCTATTCTACTGATATAACCAATAAAAAAATTTCCGGTAATGACCTGTTCAGTTCAACTTGATCAACAAGAATTCCTTTAAATACGGTTCAAATCTCTTTTACTATCAACGCTATTTTAACACCTGTTGCATCCTGTTCGAAATATTGAATAGAATTGCCGATTGCGAATCCAATTTAAAAGCAGCCAATATAAGAATATTTAACCGATTGGATTGTATCATTGATTTGACCAATTTAATTTTCCATACTTCCTAATTGAAAGAATACAATTAATTCCTAAAATTATTTAGGAATCAGTACCTCAATAGAAAAGTAAAAGCTATAGACTTTTACTTTAAAATTTTACTTCCTGCGTTCTATGTTATTGCTATAAGTGTCTTGGAGAGAATTTTTTAAAATGGCAGTAGATAGCAAGCGCTTTAGTATTGACAGCCTTTTATCGTCTGATGAGCCTAATACTACACCGTGGCTAAAGCGGCTTCCAACAATGCCAGAAGCTATAGCTCACTACCGAGCAACAAATGATATAACTCCAGGTAAATCAGCAAGCATGTTTACTCTTGCAAACTCGAGTATAACTATAAAAATCAATCAATTCGACTAATTTGTAGCTGAGCGATATTAGCATTTTTACGTAGATGGCTATTATCTGCAATTCAATAAATCGATCTTTAATTTATTACAGACTTCTCTAATTACACCTTTGCAACACAGTACTACTCTTATAGAATACAAAGAATAGTAAAAAATCATCTTATCTAATTTATCTAGTTAATCTTATAGATAGCGTCATCATTTATCTATTTATATCAATTGTTAGTTTCTCTCTTATTGGAAAATCATGTTATATTGTTATCTGAGAAAAGCTTTATATTTTTTAAATTTCATGGCTAAAATAGAATGCTATTATTAGTCAAAATAGCGATAGTGAGTTAGCCATTATTGATCACTAAATTACTTTATTTTTAAATTAATTATTTCGACTCTGCTGTCCAGTACCATATACAATATGAAATCGTTCTCTTAATGATAATATGGAAATAATTTATCCGAAACTTTCTGTTACAGTGGTTGCCAGTTGTATGGCTATGAGTGGTGGTATGATGCCGCCACCTGAAGCAGTTCCTCATCATGCAACTCCATTGACTTATAATTCAATCCCTAATCATCGATATACACCAGATCCGCGATCTCTTCCTATTAAATATCCTATGTCGTACTTTGAAAACCCTACGGCAAGTCGTCTTGTCACGACTGCTCCATTAAGCAGTCCAAATTATAATTATAGTTATAGAACAGCAGGATTACCTACGGCTCCACCATTTGGATTATCACATCTACCGACAGCATCCACAGCTCTTTCTCACCCAGCACTAAGCCAACTGTCGATACCCCACGCAGGTATGCGAGGCATACCTTATTTTCCACCTAATAATCATCCAGCTTTGAACTATGCTGACTACGGTAAAAATCAGAAAAGGAAAAGAAGACATCGAACTATCTTCACCGATGAACAAATAGCTGAATTGGAGAAATTGTACGAACAAACGCAATATCCCGATGTCACGATGCGAGAACGAATAGCTCAAAAAATCGATTTAAAAGAAGAGCGAGTCGAGGTAAATTATGCCATCATGGCAATGACTAAACAGTTCGGGTAGTAAAATTATATTAAATAACAACAAAGCAATCATACAGTATTTAATTGCCTATTTTTAATCAATAATAAATTACTATGACATCTTTTCATATTCACGATTTTGTGCGGTACTAAGATATCGCGCCAATTATAACTGGGATCTTTTGCAACAGATTAATCTAGTTTCATATGATACAACCCATTATTCCCCATAACAGCCACAGAATGGATAATGTCTTGACGGAAATATTGACTTATGACTTACAACTAAATTTGCAGTAATCCGGATTTAATATTATAGCTATTTATCCATTCTTAATTTAAGGAAATAAACACCCTATGCATTCCAGTCTAGAAACGATTTTAAACTAAGAATTTTCTAATTATATCTTATACTACAATTACTATTACTATTATTCGACTATTTTAATTTATCTTACTTTAAAGATAACTCTACGGCTCTATCCTGAGCTTATACTTATATATCATTAGCTAGCACCTATTTAGCCGTTAAAGGGAAGCGAAAAAATTATAAACTAATTTTCTCGTTTTTCACCTATAGTTGCAACTGCTATTTGCTTTTTATTTTGCCCTTTTGCTTATTAATCTTATTATTTGAAAACTATAGTAGATATTAACAAGTCTACCGTACAACAGCAGTATTCGTACATGTTAATCTAAAATGATTCAAATTATAGATCAGGTTCAGTTGGCCTATTAATTCCATCTTTTCGAGCAGAAGGTGAATCAAAACAGTTTCATATATCGCTATCAACTTAAAACATGTTTTAAATAATAGACAAAGCAGGCTTCTATGTATAGAAGTTCACTGTGAATAACAAGAATAATACTAACTATCAGAGATGAAATAACAGCCTATAGGATTTTCGATTAAGTAAAGTACTAAATTGTCTTCTTTAGCGACTTCGACAATAATATTATAGTATTCAATTCATCAATATGAGCCCTAACTTGTGCCTCCACTCCATGGCATAAATCAGATATTTTTAGTTAACCTATTAAAGAACAATTTCATCTATTTTTACCAATCCTACTGAAGGATCGTTGCTATGCTGTAATAGACATGAATATCAATTTCAAAAATTTCTCTACTTCATGAAAATTGGACTTTTAGTCAAGTTGTAAAATTTTTACATACAATTAATTTAGAGTTCATTAATTTACATTTCATTACCTCTAACTTACAAGCATGGAATCCATTGATCAACATCGTTATGGCTTTGTTATTTTAAGTTTGGAAAATGAATAGAACTACGATGGCATTGTTCGCCATCTCCTATCGGTTCTCTTCTATCCTCAGGGATATTTAATAAGCTAATCAAGTTGCATTGTTTGAAGCAATAGCCTTGCTAATTGACTTTTATTTGGCTCCATCTTGTGCCTAGCGATAATAATGATGTAATCCCATTCAGAAATTCAATACATTCAACTGGTTTAGCTAGCCTAATTAATTAACAAATTATCGTAGTCTATACCAGTGCTCGTTTATCAATATAAGTAACGATAAAACTCCCTTTCAGTCTCATTTTGGATCATTCCTAATTAAAATCGTTGATTTATCTCAACTTTTACTAACTCCCAATTAATTCATTTTGAAATTTAAACGCAATCAATTTTAAACGCGCAATGGATCGTACTGTAGATGAACATTTATTCCTACAACAAAAACATGAGACATCTTGTTCATCTTAAGCTCGATACCAATAGGATTAAAGTACAAAAATACAAGTTGAATTGAATGTATAAAAGATGTTCTAAAGCAATACAAAACGCATACCTCAATTATCACCAATTATCTGGATTAGCTTATTTACGACTAATATAATCCTTCATAAGGCTATTAATTTCAATCTAACTTTCAACAATGCTGCTTAAAATCAATTTTGCAATATTTAAACTCGACAGAATCTTTAATTTCTCTCTCCTCATTTTGATTCCAACTACATTAGTACATTTAGTAAGGGTATAAATGCTGTAGTCAAGAATTAAGAAAAGATACTGTAAATAGTTAGCCTAATTATCAATTATAGAAATAGAACCTTAAAATCATATTCCATGATATTTAATAGGTTTGGTTCAAAAACCGTCGAGCTAAATCTAGAAAAGAAAGGCGCGAAATCAGAGATTATATAAAATCAATGGGTTTGAAGGAGAAATATAACCATCTGATATCTAAAGAAAATGAAGCCGAAACAGATGGCGTATCCAAGGTAGAATCGGCAGACTTAGATTATGAAGATCAGCACCCAAACCACTCTCGATTGGCTCGATCAAGTTGTAATGAAGACAATAAACCTATTGCGGACAATCCTGGTCATCTGGCTTCTAAAGAAAGCGAAGCCAAGCCAGAATCGGTGAAAGAATATCATGATAATCATACGTCAATACCTGCTAACAGGGTCCGTCAACGATTGACTCTTTCAGAATTCAAGGAAACTCTCAAATCAGATGTAGGTAAACTTCAATTGGATGAGCCATCAGAATCATCAGATTCATCGGATTCTTTAAGCGACACTGATTCGAAAATGGCCTTATTGAAGTAATTTAAAGATAGATATATCACATCAGATGAGACAATAAATATAGAAGTAAAATTTCCAAAAGTATTGAAAATAAATTGAATTGAAATATCGTTGATGTGCCAGTGATGCATGGCATTCTATCCTGGTATTCTTCGTAAGGAGATAATCCAACTTGTAAATCCATGAAAATTAGGCAAAATCTACCTGGCAGTACTCGTAAAATCGATATCTATCAACAAGTTCGACTTAAATATCAGCAGAACCTATAAATGATCATCTTTCATTTCTCAAACTCTGTGCAAAAGGCGGCTGATATTAAGAAAAGAGGCGGCAACATTGCTAGTCTACACAAATCAAAATTACAATTTATGCTCGGATAAAAATAACACTTTGAGATCAGGCAATAGTCCATTTTATCCTGCTCAATTCAATTTTTAAACTTGATGTGATAGTAATATTCTTATATACAGGTTGTACATTACCATTATTCAGTCGTTTAAGAGAAAAAGATAATTTCCTTGTTATGGCGCTTTTATTTATTATCTTGAACCTTTAAGACTATCTGTTTCGTAGGCCATTTTACAAGTTTATCCAATAGAACACCATTAAATTATAGCTTAAAAAATTTCACCTACGAATTACACTATTTCAATCGACTTCTTTTAACTTTAAAGATTGCCGCGATGGCAGCATGAATTGTTTTGAATATTTTCTATTAAGTATGTATTAGTTTTTGTCATTGATTTCAATTTAATCGGTAGATGCTTTCAATCAAGTGATAGATATTTGAAGCAATCGTTTTTTGAGAATGCTTAGCTACTGTCTTGACCAATTAAATATTTTTTGATTTACATGATTGCTATTGCCTAGGTAAAATAAGCCCCATTTTATTGCAACGGTTATTAACTTATCTCATTTATGTACTGTAATCTAACGTTATTCTATTAATGGAAAGATTGGATCAGCAACACTGTTCATCATTAATGATGATAAAATATTCATTTTTTTTACTTTCTTGAAAAATTATTAAGTGGTTTTTAAAAAAGTAATTTTAGCAAACATTAGATTTGTAACCTTATAAATTAAGTTATGTCATTGGAATCTATTTGATTCGTTCATAACGTCTTATTTTAATGCAAGATTAACATTCAACTAATCTCTGTCAGCTACGCTATAAATTATTTTCAACATCTATTGATAAAATTTACCATCTATATTTCAAGAATTATCAACCCTTACGGGAACGGCTTAATACACCCTTGGCACTGATAGAACATAATTCAATCCTCACTTATGATATAGATATTCTGTTTTATCATAGGAAAGTGTGTTTCACGCGCCTTATGTATCAGCCAACTTAGGATATTGGCCATAAACTATTTGTTAATAAGAAACAACTTATTTTGTTCCATTTTTTTATTCAATCAAGCGAATGAGGTTAGGTATAGAACACCCACTCAATTTCATATTATCATCGAGCAGCGACTGCTGTACCATGGTAGATTTCATGTTTTTGACAAAATGCTGTTTTGTTACTATAATTTAATATCAGTTTATTAATGTTTTTATAATTTAATTTCCTCCCCTAAGTATTATTATTATTTTAATTTAAATTATAATTTGACCTCGTTTTTTCTAAATTATGCTTACGATTTGAGTAGGTTAAACATGTGTGTTAATATTTAAAATTGTTCTAAACGCTTTTACGCGTTAAATTTTCAACTAGACTATCGATGATGTAATAATTAATTATATGAGTTGAAGATTGCACCATTATTTGTTATTATAAAGGCAATAAATCTATTTAAAAGACAAATATTTTAGAAATATATAAATTATAGATACAAGAATTTCAATTTACGGATAGATCGAATAGCCTGCATGCTACTGCAATGAATACGATAGTTTAAGACTGTTCTATTATTTTACGTCATTAAAAACAATCAATACATTTATAAGATAATTTTGTCTGATTTTACTTTCCTCAAAATAATTCGATAGTGGTCATAGACATTAAATAAATGTCAAATAATAAAAAAGAATACAGCGGTATGCACCTGGCTGTAGAGGCGACGAAAGATGATGGAGAGTAATTTTGAGTTTCTTTTCTCTATCATTAAACAATCGCTAAGCAAATACATTACCCGTAAAATAGCACAGAAATATTATTTATCAATATGATCATTTTCCGGTAACCCTACAATAATTGAGCTACTAACTCTGAAACTTATAATCATGGATGTATATACACCACCTAATCTTTGTTGAGGATCTCATGAATGACAATTATCAGTGACATTAACTAGCGATACTGAGTTTGAAATTCTTCACCAGAATCTAGTTTCATAATACAGTATAGTATATAACAATAGCGCTATCCCTCTTCGCAATTATCGAAATAAAGCTTTACAGTAATAATATCAATGCGATAAGAATTTTACGACTAGGGAACGGAATAAAATATGTGAAAAATGATTGGAGTTTACTATTTCAACATTTACTAGGAAATATTATAAAATTTCGCCAGCAAATCTTATCTAATTGTTATCTAAAATGAAGAGTATAGATTAAAGATTTACGCAAGGGATAATATATTCAAATCGTGACTACCGCCGGACTTATGCTATAGCATGTTTAGCAGAATAATTTAGCATTACAATATCCGTCTGCCCTATGCGGATTAAATCAAACTAATATCTTATTTACCATGAATGATTGAAGATTAGAATTGAATTAAGGCGAATTCTATTTTATTCAGTCAGCTTCGATTTTGACTGTGCCCTTTTATTTTTTACTTTTAATCTGATTTTTACCGAGATTAAAATGAATCGCACTATCACAGCTTGAATTTCTACCTTGAAATATAATTTTTCAAAGAGTACAGAACTAGATGGTGTCAATTAAAGCCTTTATTAATCGTGCTATATTAATATATCATTCATGCAAGCTATCTTTAGGAATTTTATGGTGATAACTATTGAAAAACTAGATGAATAGCTAAGTAATCTTGCATAGATAGTATGTCCTTGCATATATCCAATTAAAACAATTTTTAACCATTGGTATATCACAAGGAATGAAATACTCATATCGTTATTCTAACATCTTATGCCGAACACAGGCTAATTAGCTTAGATTATAACCTCAGAAGACAATGATAATCAATTGCCGTTTCCTACGGGCAAAGCCACTTGAAGGTAAACATACTGGCGGCATTTGTTCTATAAAGTCTTTTCTATTCTAAGGATCGCTAGGATATTTATGATTAACCTGATGACTAAGCCTTGGATAATCTATGCAATCCAAAAATTAAATTGCTGAAATATAAACTGTCCTCATCAACGGATGCTCGCCTAGTCATTCAAAATCGACACGACTATAGAGGTTCATTTTTGTTATTTTTTGCATCGGTAAAAAATAAAACATGCCGTAGATGTTTAAAATAATTTGCCCTTAAGGGAATCAATCGCTCAGTGGCAACAAAAAAAGAATAAAATGATCATCATTGTTTGATAGTCGATAGTTGTAGTCAAGATAATGAAAACACTAACTCTGATATCCAGGTCATCATTTATTCATCAAAATAGCCTTTGAATATCGACTAAGAGGCTAAAGATAGAGAATATTGGAAATAGAAGGTATCAAAAACAATTAAAATGGTAACAAAGGATTATCATGACAGTAACGCGTGGGTTATAGGCTATGGATCATCATCATAATTGCTGATTGTATTGATGAGGGGAAGGCATAATCATTTGATCTTTGCTAAGGATTTTTAATTAACTAATTAATAGCAATATTAGGTCATAGTCTGCTGAAAAATAAAATGCAGGCTGCCCGCTATTCTACGTTCAACTTTAATTTACAGCGAAATTAAACCATCCCGATCATCATCATCATCGTCGTATGTTTCTTCTCCTTCTTCTTCTTTTTCTGATGCTAACTCATTGTACTGTACATCCTATAGCCATCTATAATTGAATCAGTAATAATTAATTATCACGAGATACAAAACAAAAGAATTCCATGACAAGCGTTAATAAGCAACTAAATTAAACAAACCACCTTGATTTTTCTACTGATACAATCGCAGATAAGATGATTAGACAATAAGACAAATAAATAACGGCGAGCCAAGAAACATTTAACAGACGGTTAATATTTGGCAAATAATTAATGCTTACTATCATGACCGTCTTAGCCAAAATATTTCAAGCTTTACCCCCTTCAATGTCTATGATAATAACTAGTTTAGCTTCGGTGTTGTTTGGCAATAGCAAAAGATAAGAACAAAAGACAACTAAGTAATAAAATGGATTTCTGTTGCAAGCATGTGCAGCCAGTCATCTACACCAAAAGTAAATAAAGTAAATAGTTTTTAGCTAATCTTGAAGTATTCTATAACATGTTAACATCACTCTCTTTATTGATTTGAAACCTTAGTAAAAATATTTTTATCAGACATTCAATTCCATTATCACACAGCCTTACTAATAGTGATAATCGAGTTTTTGGATTCATATCCCACCCAGAAATAACGCTTATAGCATGTAAAGTCTTGGAGGTAAAACTGATTGAAAATTGGGTCATAAAACACAGTAGTATCATTAATAAAATGAATCATCATCACCGTTTCCTTAATGTATAATAATAACACCAATAACAATTAGCAATAGTTATTTTAATGATATTCATGCTATTTATTAAATGAAATGATAATGAATCACCCTTGACCAACCTAATTAAAACTTAACATAGTAAGTGGAAACAAGTCGTTGTCAAAATTGACAAAAGTAACCTCATAAAATTAATAATTATGATATTGGAATCTTTCTATCAACGTTATATTGTTCCACAGAAGATTTTTTCGAATCCAATGATGATAGAATAATCGAATGCGGATTGACGATATCAATACATTGATCAAATTATAAAACAGATGTTAATTAAGAAAACTGTTCAAGGAAGACATTGAAATAGGACTAGCCTGCGGTTGTTTATGTTAATCAACAGTAACAATTAATCATAATTCATTATGATATCGATTGGTACCTTGAATTATCCCCTCGAATTAAAACTCCAAGAATGATTCTATTAAACCTATCCCTTCATCATCTTAATTGTTATGTCATAACTAAAATGTCAGTTATACGCTAATTTTAAAAAAAATAACCAATAACAAAACAGTAACTTTTCAATGATGAAAAAAAAGAATTGTTCAGATTTTCATAAATTATCACATCTATTTGATTGTCTAGCAAATTAATTGCTACATGTTAAAGCTATTGACTAGAATCAATTCTATCAATTCTCACGTCATAATCCAATCGCAATCAAGGTGGCACACCCAGAATTGAACTATTAATTATAATGTCTGGCTCTTACAACAGTAGACAACGCGATTGAAACGTAGAATATGTATGTCCATAAGATATGAGTTATTATCATGGTTGCCATTCTTTAATTATTATTCATCAATAACATCATCAATTAGATGAATTATTTCCCTATGTTTTATCTCATTGATCCATTTTTAGAGTCTACTTTAGTTTACTTTAAGGGCTATTTGCAGTGAACAAGCTACCCAAACTTCCAACCTTAACCTAGGCCTCTATCGTAAATAATAAATAATCAATAGATAGCTATAACAAAAAACAAAACGTTAGTTATTAAAATGAATAGCCATAAAATACCGACCATTAGCGATTACCCATTGCTGTAGCAACAAGTGAGAAAGGACTACTTTAAAAACTATCGATACAATAACAACTGACGCAAAAGAACTGATAAAGCATAGCCTCGAGCAAAATAGTCTTTCGATTGAAATATTATTCCTATACTAACATTGAAAAGGAGACCGTTAATTATAGCCGATGATTTTTCCTTTATTTTCTTAGCCATGATAGTTATGAAGAATCAGCTGTTATTGATTCCAACTATTAATATACATTCAATAAGATAGATTAACAATGATACATTAATAATCCGCCTTGAATTTACAATTGAAATATCCTTAATCATCACACTTGTCTTCTTGACGTTTAAAAGTTCAGAATTACTTTCCCTTCAGGCTAATTTACCCACATAACAATTTAAAAAGATCAACATTTGAATTTTAATTTTTCTAGTTATCCTATTTTAACTATTGATCATTTATAGCGTTAATAATGCTGCGCTGTGCAACCTAAATGACTGACAAGGCAAGGAGAATCATTAATCTTAATACCTTAAAATAATTTTGATAACTTTTCAGTAAAAATTATGTTAGATAATCATCATAGATCATTCAACTCTTTTATAACGTAACCGAACTATTAACTATGACAATAGCTTAACTTTTCCAACGATAGTAACGGCAATAACTTCATTGTATCATTGATAATTATAATTTATGATATTAGTGTGTTTCGTCGATCAATACAACAGAGCTGAGACCACGCTAGCTGAAAGTCATGTAAAGTTTATCGATATATAAAGCGGAGTATAAAATGTGATTGTTAAAAAATCTTTTCTACAGCATCTTATATTTTAATGATCTAATTAAAATCTCACAAAAATCATTCTAAATTTTATTTCAGACTTTAAAGCAAATTAAATATCTCTTCAATTATCTCTTATCCATTTCTATGCATTCCAGTATTAAAATCTATAATTGCACTTCAACTTACAGTGCATATTCTACTCAGATTTTGGCAATTTTATACCAAACCTGTACCGCATTCCTATTTACTGTGTTCACGATATACAAGCATACTTAGACTTATATTAGGACGACGATAACCTTATTAAAATTGTACATTTGTACTAGCATACATTAGCACAACAATTTTCTTTACTTTTGTAATACAATGATTTGTACTGCCTTCAACGGAGACTATTTTCCCGTAATTAAGCAAGACATAAATAAAACAACGCCATCGTCATTACAACAAAGCCTATAACAGAAACTATACACGAATAATAACAGATTTGCTCTATATTACAGATATAGACAGAGGATACATTAATCCATGTAGTTATAAAAAACTATTACTATATTCAAAGGCAACAATTGACCATACACGATTTCAGCATACGCGTAATCTACTATATATCAAACGTGCGATAGCGTACAAAACTAATTTCAAAGCTAATAATTATTATTAACATGTTAAAGTTAATAAAGTTATAATTCCCGGTTTAGCGATTACCACCACTTAAAGTAACCTTGATAAAATCTAGAAGTTCATCTTTGCTGACTTTATCATCACGGTTGCCTTTAATCTTAGCAGTGTTACTATCCACGAAATCATTACTATCATCCCACGGCCAAAACAACCGTAATTCATGACATTGTCTTTTAAAATAACAAAAACACCCGTTTACTGTAATAAAACCTGATTAATTGGGTATAACAAATAATTTTTACAAAAGAAATTCGATGAAGGCTTCAATTCATGATGATATCTTAATAATATTAGTCTTTCTTTTATTTACCTAAAACTTGCAATATCTTCTTGAGGAAGATCATACTGACTCGAATTATTTGCAGTATTAAAGAAATAATATCTATTATGCGTATTACTAATTCTTACTACCCAAGGATCTACATAATACACGATAAAACAGAGTTAACTCTATTATATCATTTACAAAGAATACAACAAGTGCTATGTTTCAGCAGCATACCTAAAATATCTTTAACTATATACAATCCAGTAGGGATAAAGAAGCAACTATCGTCAGATTTATCAGAACCTACGATACAGCAATTCTTCCTTCCCCGAGATCCTTTCATTTTCTTAGATTGTAAACTATGACAGTAGCAAAAGTTGCAACAATAACTAAAACAATAATTCAATTAAATTAAAGCTAAATCTTGAAATAGCTAGCATAGTTACTAACCGTGCAAGGATTGTAGATGAATCGTTTAATCTGTGCAATAACTTAACCCTAGAAATCATTTATCATTAATTCAAGTCTTGAATAAATATAATAGGCAAATCTGCACATTTAGGATCTTCTAAAATCTTCTATGTGCTAATTCTTACCTTAAAGGAGTAGCCGTATTGATGGACTTCTTTTGCAAGGCTTTAACAAATTTTTCAGCATATCTCAATCTGATAAAATTCACGATATAAGACTTATGCCAGGAAGCAATATATCATTATACAGAAATAGACTGTTTTCACCTTTCTTTAATATGGAAATTACGATAATCATCACCACCAAGAAAAGCGATATCCACAATATGAATAGCATTTACGTGTTTCTGGCTTTTACCCTAACAAATAAGTCATCGAAAGAATAACGACTCCGTAAGCAAAAGACTTTGTAGCTTACAAGTTGTTAAAAAAACGAGGTCATTCCCCTTCGGGTTAGTCAATATCAGCACACTTTATGATTTACGTCTTGTAATTACTGTACATCGAACAGTTTTCCAGGTACGATAACATCATTTTTCGCAGATTATAAATATGGCATAAGTACTTTCAACCATGCTAATAACGTGAACCTATAATAAGAAATTACCTCGCCACGATACTCTGTTACAATTTCTGCTTCAATCAACGTGTTTTCCGGCATTTCTAAGTTTATCCGATTTTCACTATTTGATAGTTCTTCCCATTTGTTAACATCCATATTCCCGTACTTATCAAAACTCGTCCGATAGATAAACTTTCCCTGAAAATTTTAACACGTTAAGTAATTCTACCTAGTTTTTGTTTCAAGAATCCATACTAGTAACTTACTGATAAGCTCAGGATAAAATATCGCCGTCCTCCAGAAATCGTAAATCTATAATTATAGATAGCTGTCATTCTCTTTATTGTACTCTTAGTTACCTCTATAATTCTATTATTAGTCTCCTAAATAATCACAAAAGATAAAATTAGGTTACAATATCTGAAGGGAAAATATCAAACAAGTTTTTCATTTCGCATAGTCTTCCTACCCAATCATCTAAAGAAGTATTCAGTAACTTGAAAAATGTATCCCTTGGTGATGGTATATTTCGCTTACTCCTAGGATTGGTAGGAATCTAAAAAAAATTTGTAGTAGTACCTTATATAAAGCTATTGCGTTAAAGAATATCAAAAATTAATCATAATATATTACGGTTACTAACATTCCACAAAGTCAAACAGCCGTTTTTAATATCGTTTTGCTGTTGTGTAACTAAATTCCTGTAATACAAATCTCTCTTGGTTATTCTAAACTTGATAATATCATCAACATTATACTAGTAGTATGGCCTGTAGAACAGTAAAATACTAACAAAATAATCTAATTGAAACCTGTTTTTGGCAAAAGCTTGAATTTTTCGCAGAGCATACACTTGGGCTACACCAATACTATTTTGAAATGATGAATTTATCCTTTAATTAAAGAAAGATGCTAAACTTTATTCTATCATAAAAATCTCACTACCGTGTTACCTATTATTTGACTGCACAACATATTCAAAAAAAGCTTTGTCACCACGAATAACATCCAAAGGTACTACCTATACAAGCATCACGTCAGTATTAGATGTGTATTAGCAAAATGCTAAGTGTTTGCCTACATCCTAAAGTTCGATAATAAATTAATTCTAAAGAGCTCAAACTTTATTTATGACAAGTTCTTATACCTCCGTAACATCGAGATTATGTTTGCTAGATTTATCTTGAATTATCGTCCTATCATCTTGAAGTGCGTTAGTCATTAATTCAGCTCCTAATTCCTCATCTTGTTGATCCGATTCAATCTCACTATCAGAGAGCTTCAATGCACAAGGGATAGTTAGAATTGCAACCTCAGATATGCACGACACTTGACTAGAAAGTAGTTTACAATATCGTCCCATCACATATACGTCGATTAGATATTCATACCTGATTTGAATTTTCATTTTCACTCGTATTGAAATAATCCTCTTCACTACCTAATACGACAGTAACAGAATTAGTAAGATGGCTAAAACACTTTTCGTTTTTAACGTATTGTTAGACATATTGATTATAATAGCTGCATAAATAACACGTAGGATTATCTACAACAATTACATTGATTAGCTAACCTGAAGTCTTTTCACTACGTTTATAAGATGTCGTAAAAACTACAGCCTCTTTCCTTTCGGCCAATTTTAATTCATTTATCTTGTCATTTACACTATAAAAATAGTCTCTAACATCGTCTGCATTTCTATAACCTTCACAAACTATATACCTAAAGAAAAAGATATTATTAAATAGACGCAAATTTGTAGCCTACTTCGACAACATGCAAACCTTTCTGAGTTTGCAGGCCTACTAGTTAAAGGTTTCACTAATGATATACGACGGAATATACGATAGAACAAGTATAGTAAGCCAACACTGAATGGAGTAAAAATATCAAATAGTTTGCAAACGAAATTTCCTCCTAATAAAAGAGAAAGCAAATTGTCAATAATTAAAGGTATTACCGGTTTTAATTCTGCTGTTAGCATGTAATATTTATTTACTAATTAGACACAATTTCAATATTTTGAAACCATTGAGATAGTGTCATACCTTCTCGTAGAACACTGATAGCGCATAAAAACTGACACAGATACAGCTGTTTACTTAGAATCTCTTGTATATTCTCTTGCCCTTCAACAGAAAATCCCTAAGGATTATAAATAAAACAATTAACGTAAACTACGTCTTCGATTACCCTATTTCGAATTCACCCAATAACTTACACCATCCGCCATGGCAAAATGAACACCTCCTTCAGATGAACTGCGAACAAACTCGGCAAATGCCCTCAAATTTTCTGTCCGTGTTACATCACCGTCTCCATTAACACCGTTTACACCTTTGATAATTAAGTCATCATAAATAAGCGATAATTTAATTAATGATTACATACTCGTAATAAATTTTTAACTAACAACGAAATAATACTGAGTATGTTACCATAGTATGGCTCGAACGTTTCCGGAGTACCAGCTAAGAAATCAGTTAACTTGAAGTCGCTCGCATTCTTTGCTAATAACAAAATCAACAGAAGATAATTTCGACATTAAATTGATAGCGTAACTGTAAGAAGTGTCGAAAAGCATTTTAAAGTTGGTTAAATTATTGTACTAACGATCTTTCAGAGTGATTCCAAATCCTTTCGCGTGCCATCTTCGTTTCCAGAGTACATATTCCGTAAATCCTCCCGGTCCAGCGCAAATATCGGCAAAGTAAAGTATATCCAATGATCTTATCTTTTCGTTCTATGAATAATTTACCCCAATTTCAAATACCGTCAGTCATATTAAAAACCTAATCAATTAGATTATCGATAACTTTCGTATAATTACGAGTAAGTAAAATTAACTTAAGTTCTTACGCCTTTATCATCTCTTGGATTGGTAAATATATACTTATATACGTAGTCTAAATTAGCCATCTTCATAGCAGCTCTGTACGATGATAAAATTATCTCCATGTAAATCTTTCAGCTAAGTTATAGGAGTATAGTAGGGTATTATTCGATTACCTATTCAAGAATATCGCCCCTTTGATTGTCTCATAAGGATTAGCCCTAGTCCTAGCTTCGACCATTTCTTTGCTTTCTAATTCATCAAACATATCCTGAATAATTTTTATTATATCAGTCAATGATCGGCATAAAAAATCGAAATAACTGCTATTATATTCAAATTATGATAACACTCGAAGATAAGTCTACCAAATATTCCAACCATGCACACTTTCCAAGTTTACTATATCTGTATGATTTTATACACGCTATAATATGTCAATAAAAACCTTGCACTCTAGAACATCCTTAAGAATGTTAGGCTCACAAAAATTGGCTTCATCATCAATAGTCATCTTCTTCTACATGGATACGAAAATTATCAACTTCAGTACTGAGATAAATGATACTGTTAGAATATCGGAGTATCTTACAGCCATAATGGTCAAACGTTCGCATTGCATCATTACGTAGAGCTTAATTTATAGTTAATAATGCATAACTACATTACAAACATCGAATAGCCAACATCAAAGTAAATTGTTAACTGGTTATAACCTTTCCAATCTTCATCCAACTATCAAGTGTAGCTCTATCAGGCAAGGGCAACTGACACTCATCTATCCAAGTTGCCATTTCCTCGATATTAATCTATGAAGAATGATTGAATATTAATAATATAATTCGTGTAGCTTACACATATGGATTTATTCCACCATAATTAGTTCGTTACGAAAGATTAAACTGACTATGTGCAATTATTAGAGTCTAAAGCATGGATTGTTTTTATGGTCTAAAGCCTAGCATTACAATCAATACGTCCACTCTGTACAGGTAGATGATATACCTGTTCATCATCTACACTCCATTCAGTATCCTCATCTTGTTGAAAATGTTTATTCTCTGAACCAAGACCTCGGTGACCTCGTTGTTTAGATGCTTCAATAATATTTCTACGTCCTTGGCTATGCCTGCCTAACCCTTCACCAGGAGTATATTTCATTTTGGCCTGTAAAAATTACAGATAAAATTATTCTTCGATCTTAGCCGAATTCAAAGTTACCGTTTATAACTATGCTACCATTAACAACTTGATATTGCCCAACTATAAAAGATATCAAATAGTTACAGCTTTGATAATAATAATTATGTAACTAATCATTTTAGACTATTATTACTGTCCACAAAACAATTTCAATTTGCTTTACTTTATACTATAAAGTTGATGATTTCATGACAGCTATAGTCATGAAGCAGAGCAGTGCCTGCTACAGAGCTATTCATAATCTGACGTTTAATCAGCTGCGATAATAGTGATCCAATATCAATGTTATAACTATGATCCAAATGACTAAATTAATATCTTTACCAAACAATGGTAACACAGCGCCAATTGAATTGAGTTAACAAGATTAGATAAAAATTTTACCATCAACTTTTTAGCCACATTGCTGTAATTTCCAGGTATTTCTTGATAATTAGGTTGAGCGTCTTGAAATTCATTGTACTGATCTGCAAATTAGTTGCCCAAGAAATACAATATTATCAAATATCTATGATTAACTTTAATCATATATAAATGGCATAAAAGATATCTACTACTGTACACAAGAAATACAATATTATCAAGCATCTAGTCGTATGATAGATACTAGTTATACTAGTTGATTACTGTACTGTACTGTACTATTGCATGATAATAAAGTGGTCAGGGCAAAATGGATAGGACTTGTTGACTGCAAACTAGTTCAGTTTTACTTCCTAAAAGACAACCACACAAATGACATAAAAGGTATCTATTACTGTACACATAAGAAATATAATATCATCAAGCATCCATGATTAACTCCGGCTGTATTAGTAGATCACTGTACATTAGGCCCCGCCAGATCCCCCCCTATGTTAATGAAATACTACTACTTCTGCCATACTATAGAACCAATATACCTGTCAGAATATAATTGCTAATTTTGAACAGAAATAATTAAATGTGGCAGAAGTTTCATCAACGTATAGGGGACCTAGCGAACTATATAGGCCAGGTTGACTGCAAACGAGTTCAACTTTACCTTCATCAAGAATACTACACAAATTACATAACAGATATCTACTCCATACAAGAAATACAATGTTATCAAGCATCCACTCTTATGATGAACTATAGCTGTACCAGTTGATTACTGTACTTAATACTATGATGATAAAGTAATCAGTGAAAAATAGATGGGACATGTCAGTACACTAGTTGTACAGTATGTACTGTATTTTGCCCAGATTAGTTGATCATTGCAGCCATCAGACAATGTTGTGGAGGACTACAGTGCAATTATAGTAGCATAACTCGTGTTACTAGGACTAGCTAGTACTACTAGTGGCATCATCGATGTTTGATAACATTGTATTTATGGTATGGAATAGATGCCTTTGATGGAATTGGTGTAGTAGTCTTGATAGGAGGTAAAATTGAAATTGTTTGCAGTCTGACTGCGAACAATTACAATTTTACCTCTTATCAAGACTGCTACACCACATATTACATGAAAGATATCTACTCCACACAACAAGTACGCTATTAATTATCAATCATCTACTGGCAAGTCTCGTATGATGGAATACTAGTTGTACTAGTTGATTATTGTGCTATGATGATAAACTAATCAGGGTAAAATTGATCGATCATATTGTTGACTGCAAACGAGTTCAATTGTACATTTGTACCTCTACGAAGATTACTACACAAATTACGTAAAAAGATACGTGTATCTACTGCGTATACTAGTCTTACTAGTGAATTACTGTACTATGATGATAAACTACTCATTAGGCAAAATAGATAAGATATGTTGACTGTAAAAGAGTTTAATTTTATCTCCTATCAAGACTACTACACATATTACAAAAGATATCTACTCCATACAAGAAGTACACTATTATCAAGCAGCTACTTGTAAGTCTGGCATGATGAATACTACTAGTTTTAACTAGTTGACTACTGTATACTCAGTACTGTGAATCTGTGATGATTAACTTATCAGGCAAAATAGATAGAAGATGTTGACTGCAAAACAATTTGAATTTTACCTCCTATCAAGACTACTACACCAATTCCATCAAAGGTATCTATTCCATACCATAAATACAATATTATCCAGCATCGATGATGCCAGTAGCAGTACTAGCTAGTCCTAGTAACACGAGTTATACTACTATAATTGCACTGTAGTCCTTCACTACATTTGTCTGATGGCTGCAATGATCGACTAATCAGGGCGAAAATCCAGTAAGTACTGTACTGTACATTTAGTGTCCATGCAAGTAGGTAATGTTGACTTGCAAACGAGTTCGATTTCACCTTCTGCATAGACTAGCGATATAAATTACATGGAAGATTTTCTACCTGCATCTTCTTCAAGCCTAGCTCGTTTCGATTGGTGTTGCTCTTCCATTCGTCCAACTTTGCTGTCTTATACTAGTAGAAAATCAATGCTAACCTTCGATAGCCTGCTAATCCTAATCTGCCATTTAGTTGTCGACTGAGTGTCTAGGCTAGCAACGTGTCTGTACCACTGTAAGTTACAGTACAGTATACAGTATAAAGAGTGCTATCATACTGTAGAGTACAGTATTAGTAGTCGATGCCAGACTGATCACTCTTGGACGGACAGACCTTTTCAGCCTCTACCACTGTAAGTTACAGTACAGTATACAGTATAGTTACTGTATGCCATGAAAGAGTGCTATCATAGAGTACAGTATTAGCAGTCGATGCCAGACTGATCACTCTTGGACGGACAGACCTTTTCAGCCTCATCTCGTCCAAGTACAGTATTGTTTCAAACACTTGGTTATGAGAGTACTTTAGTATGCAGACGGACGATCTGAAATGGATTGATTTTTTTCTAAATTAAGCAATATTACGTGTTGAATCTTATTATCCGAGACTAAATTCTGCTTGAAAACACTTCTATAAGATCGTCAATGACATTTAAATTTGTACCCATGATTTGGAAAAAGGGACACAGAAGATCGATAGTACAGTATAGTAAGTAGTTATTTTCGATATGAATGGCCTGATTGAGTCAGAAAGTCTGTCTGTCTGAAATTTTGCCCAAGTGGTAGAGTAGATGTATGGCATAGCTGAGGACGGATAGCAGAATGAAAAGTCTTCTTTATCCTGTTGACAATATGATGTTCAAGCAGAGTATTTATCCTCTACAAAAAGCTATTCAAAAACCCATAAAATTCCAAGTGTTATATTGAAACAGCAGTATGCCGCCCAGCCATTAACCTAGACTGATTATATAATTATTCCCTCCGATGGACGGACATTGCCAAGGATGGCAAAAATGACTACGATACTGTGTTATGGTTCTTCCATGTCTCTTTTCTAAATCTCTAGTATGAATTGAAATAAGCTTTGACGATCTTATATAGCTGTTTCCAAGCAGTACTTGAGTAACAGATAATAAGATTTAATAATTGCTTTAATAAGAAGAAATCAGTCAATTCGACCGTCTGGATATCTCCATTTATATTGTAGGCTCTAGTATACGCTGCAGAATCTAGTCTACGGTACCATACAGCGCTTAAACGGCAGTGAAATCCATGTTAAGCGTCGAAACGATAATGTACCGTATAAGGTATTGGGACCTGACTAGTACCGTTTGGGTACCTGTTGCTTGGATCACCACTGTCAGATCGATGCTGTCCATACTAACACAGTAATGCTACAATCGCCCATAAAACACGATACTGTCTACAGTATAGCTGGCGTCTTTGTTGTGGTCAGTAGCCAATCAAATGCGCCCTTGGCTACCAAGCCCTCGGTAGGGATAGTTTTAAGCTTTGCTGCTGCATCCCATCTTCTCCCATTCCTCAACAAGCCTAAGACAGATTGAGCAACTCTATTGGGAAAAATGATGCCAATAACCTCAACATTATTGCGTAAGTCTATCTATCAGCAATGGCCATGTCTCTGTTTGCATTGGTCATACTTTACAAGCAATGATTTTCAATTGAATCGCTTCCTATACAATTATACTGGACAAAATAGGCTGCCAAGCAATGGCTACTGGCCATGCTCCTAGCACTATTCCATCAAATTAGATAACTTTGATATTATTACGCTAGTTTATGTAGAAATGATGGCTAGAACGCCACATTTTATTCGGTCACAATTAGTTTTCTAAATTATAACATAGCCATATTAAACTATTCCAGAACGATCGATACAAATAAAAATAAATAGTGGCAATTTGTTCTTACAACTACTACTGTTCAAGAAAATAATTCTGGTAAATACCACGGGATAACCTTGATGCCCATGTACAAATCATCAATCCATCCGAGATATATCTTGGTACACCTCTTTGTTACCTGTTATAAGTGATTGTTTTCAACGAATTGGACCCTTAGTTGTATCTGATGGAATTCAATCACGTTTAATGGTGGCAAGATGAAAGTGCCCTCTGGTATGCGACAATGAGATAACCACCAAGTGACAAAATGGCCTTTAGACTCCTTGTAGGAATACCTCTTGATAGATGGATTGATCCATGAATTTATTCATATTAGGAATCCAGGCATACTTTACTACTGTGTAATAGATAGGTATCGTTATTAGAAATCAGCTGAAAGAAGAAAAGTCTACAATCAATACTCTGATTGTCGCTAAACTTGATAGTTTTTCTCCCCTATAATGGTTTATTTATTTATGTTACCATAAGTGACTATGCAACTGTACTCGTATAGTCAAGCAGAAGAAGTTAAAGCTGCAGTTAGCTTATGATATAGAAACTGTATCAACATAACTTACGAAAATCTCATTTCGTAACATAGTCGTACTAGGCACCACTGATAATCTTTACCTTCGTTGGATCAATTCATCATTCGCTAATAGCTCATCAATGCCTACCATTAGCCATCAACTAGATTTAATCCAGATTGAGACATTTGTATATTTTGGACTCGTCAGTACTGTACTTGATACGTTGATATTACCCTTAAGGCAATAAACATACCTACTTATGCATATCATACGCGTATAATATCTTGGATTTTAGATGATACAGGATAACGTTAAGTATCCCAGTAACCTTATCTATTTACCAACTCAAACTGGCTAATTATGACTGAACTTTTTCTTACAAGTAATACGTTAAAATCATACTGTATTACTTAGCCTAAACAATTTTGAAATGCGCATTTCTAAAGTAATTTTATGAATATAGTTTATGCAAACTATACTCATCTACAATACGCGATAAAAGCGATACTTTACTATCAAAGTATTAACTGTAACAAATTGAAATGAATAATTCTTCTCATCATTCCAACTGACTTTGAAATTATCATACTGTATATTGCATAATAGGCAATGCTAACCGCACCGCCCACTTACTAACGTCTAAATCGACTGTCAATTCAAGGTAAAATGCAATGTACTTACGCGTATCAATCGAATTTTACCTTCTTCCCTACCTGTTTACATTGTATTGGTGATGAGTTTCACTTAATGGACTGATTTCAGGAGTAACTATTTGCTATTATTTACAGATTCTATTCAGCAGCAGCTTCTGCTTTTAACGTAACAACGAAAGCAAAGTTAGAAGAAATCAGACAAGCAGGTACTTGGAAAGACGAAAGGGTCATCACTACACCACAAGCCGCAGCAATTGCAGTTGAAAGTAGAACAGATAACATTCTTAACTTTTGTGCTAATAATTACCTTGGTCTCTCGGTAAATGCCTTGTTATTTAGAAAAACTCATCATAAGAAAATTTTTAATTCTTTGTGCTATGGGAAAATTATTGATTGTCCATATACTCATACATCGGATGTAAATGATAGTCACAAAGTTGTCCATGTATAAAGTATTTATTGATAGTAGTAACTGATAATCTCTGCCGTATTGCCATGTGTGCATTCTTTCTAATCATACGTTACGGTATCATGTATAATAATAACCATATTCATCTTACTACAATTTTAGTCTCATCCACTAATTATTAGCGCTGCCAAGAACGCTTTAGATGATTATGGTGCTGGTCTTAGTTCGGTTCGGTTTATTTGTGGCACTCAGGTAATAAATAGTACTCCGATATGCCTAATTACTTTAGTTTTAAATATCCGAACAGCAACCTTCCTCATACATTCCTTTTCATCCAAAAATCACTAAATATGCCATTATTGTCATTAATCCATGTTGGTAACACTATACGAGTATATTTTTAGGACATCCATATTGGTTTAGAAAACAAAATTGCAAAATTTCACGCAAGAGAAGCAGCAATCCTATACGCTAGTTGTTTTGATGCTAATGCTGGAATATTTGAATGTATCTTGAGTGAAGAAGACGCCGTATTAAGCGACGAATTAAATCATGCTTCGATAATTGATGGTATACGTCTCTGCAAGGCGCGCAAATTTCGCTATAAGCACAGAAATTTACAAGGTTCGGCTACGAATTCTATCAACACTACATATTAAAAAGGATTATCTATCACTTATGCTATAAGCTGCCCATCTTGTACCTAAGTAAAATTTAGTTTTTTGGTTACTGACAAACTACCTAATTAGCACCTGTTAATAACGAAGGCTAAATTTTTAAATCAGATCTTGAAAGCAAACTTGCCGAAGCGAAAGATTCACCTACAAAGTTAATAGTGACAGATGGAGTATTCAGCATGGATGGTAGCATTGCGCCTTTAAGGTAGCGTATAAATTCACTTTTAGCCTCTAATTTAACGGCAATAGACGTTATATACACTTCTATTGACTCAAAATTAGAAATTACCGTTAATACGTATTTCATTGACCTTAAATTTAATTTAATTGATTAAACTTACTCTGAGTATGTGTTAAATACATATAAAGAGAAATTTGTGATTTGGCTGATAAATACGGTGCATTAGTATTCATTGATGAATGCCATGCGACAGGATTCTTAGGAAAGACAGGACGGTACGCTAATACTTTCCCTTTACATATGAACGAGAGTTAATTTCTTGAATTAAAAATGGCATTATGTATGTATCTAGAGGAACCGAAGAATTCCTTGATGTTGTAGGACGTGTTGATATTATCAATTCTACCCTCGGTAAAGCCTTAGGAGGTGCTGCAGGTAATCTACCGAATGAATATGATCCATCTCACGGGCATAACTAGCAATGTTTTAAATGATTTCTTCTTCGGGCTAGGTGGATATACATGCGGATCTGAGTCTCTTGTGGCTTTGCTACGTCAGCGCTCTCGCCCTTATTTGTTCTCAAATTCACTACCCCCACCAGTAGTTGCCTCTGCGAGTAAAGTATTCGATCTTTTAATGGACACTTCAGAACTAACCCAAAAATTACAGGAAAACACTCTAAGATTCAGAACAAAAATGAAAGCAGCGGGCTTTAACATAATTGTAAAGCAAATATTACTTCTTGCTATCTTTTGTCTAGATTATAACCATCTCATACGTAAACGATTATATTGTTGTAGGGAGATAGCCATCCCATTTGTCCTGTGATGTTAGGAGATGCACGCTTAGCTAGCCAATTTGCAAATGCTATGCTTGGTAATTGCCTAATTGTAATATACCCCAACAGGGTGTATACTTTTACAATAATACTGATTAGTCTTGTTTCATAATTGCAGAAAAAGGTATATATGTCATTGGATTTAGCTTTCCCGTTGTTCCCAAAGGTAATAGCAAAATTGCTAAAGTTAAAAAATTATACAGTTGTATTTTCTACACCTCTATTTCTTTTCGTCTTGAGTTATTGTATTTACGTATTTTATACAATTTCCGTGGTTTCTGTTTATACCTTACTTATGTATGTAATAGGCAAAGCACGCATTCGTGTGCAAGTTTCAGCAGCCCATTCAACAGAGGATATTGACAAGTGCAGCGATGCCTTTATAGAAGTTGGAAAACAACTGGGTGTCATTTCATAAGGATTCACATATTACAACGCCCTAACCTTTCAAAGCATGACTACTTAATAATAAATCAAAGTCAAAATTAATTGGGTGTATAATCTCGAAATTGATGGGCATGAAAATGACAACTTCGATTGATTTCTCTATATAAACTAATGCTACTATTATAGAAACAATCAGTCAAAAGATTGCTTAAAACGTGGTGGGCTATATTGACATTAATTGAATTAATAGGCTGTTTTTAGCGTTGCACTATTTTAAATATTATAAAATATTAATAAGGACACCGGTAAAGTAGCTATTTCTGTTAGTAACATGTTTCTGTCGCAGATATCATGATCTTTATTAGCATTACAGATAATCGATGTCAATAAATCTTTAAAAGATTACAATTTGCTGTTGTAAAGTATTTGTTTAATAACCAGCTTTCTGCCACGATAATTTTGCATTAGGTCTGTTATGAATTCAAGATGGTTGTATGAATCGTCTTAAGTATTTAATATAATTTTCGACTACTGTAATAATAACTTAACTGCCTCTTACTGTAGCGTAAGTAACTTAAGAATACTCCAGTCTCTTTCTGCTTAATTCCTAGGGTAGTTCTGGGATAAACTACTGATCCAGCTTGTGTTGCTCGCATTACCCTTTTATCCATCACGATATACCTAGAGGTACCGTGCTCCCTTTACATCTACTTAAACCATTCAGTCTCGAACTAACTATCCTAGTATACTGCTATACCTATTGACACAATCAAACGCGTCCTAACAGTATTATACTTGCACATGCTTCATCAAACCTAGCAAACAAAACGTATACCCATTTCCAATTTGATTTAAAATAGAAGTTTATAAATCATTGTTATGTCAAAAAATGATTTTAAATATCAACCATAGAGGTCATTTGTACTCGATGCAGGAGTACACATAATAATTTTCTAGTTCAATCAATGCATATTATGGATGTAGCAAAACCTCAATCAGTCTAGCTCTGTAAATTAATCCATTTTATCATGATTGTATTTTTATTGCTATTTCTTGACTATAATAAAAGAAGTACCATCATCATTTTCCATACGGAATAGTTATAGCGCTAACACAAATGATTATGGAGATCTACTCATGAAAAAAAATGCAAGCCACTCTTATTATGAATATCATATGAGAATTTGCTAACATTTGTTGCATAAGGAAAGAAATTGATAACTCTGTAAGAAGAGCGTAAAAGATATAGGCAATTGATAAGAAAAGTGGGGTATTTTCATTTCATTCTTTGCATGGCTTCATCAATACTTAATGAGGAAAGCACTATCTAGAATTTCATTCTGTCAGTACGGTGTAAATACGGTTAACTATCGATTATTATTGATGATTACCATATTTAATAAATTATTATCATTAATTAGAAATATATAGGATAAACAAAGTCCAAAAAAGAGCAAAACACAACAAACAGTAAAACTATAGTTTGCCGTTCAAAATAAATAAGCTACATTGGAATTTAGTGATACTGGAATTGCTTGCTTACTATGTCAATAATCTTTCTTTGTCAAGATTAAAAGAAATAAATTAGTTCATAACCCATAATTATGGCCACTAGACTAATATTATAAAATATCTTTTTGTAATCATGATAGGTAAATTTGCTGTAAAATAATCATACCGTAACATAGGTCAGAGCTGAAGCAAGCCACTCTTAATTCATTGCATCTTAAAACTTAATCTAACTATGTACTAAAGTGAATGATATATGATGCGATAACAACTTGTCGATAAATTGTCTTGTAAAATTTGAAAAATCAAATCGTATAGCAGGCGATATGGATAGATGTGTCATTGCAAATTTAAGTTTACAACTACCGTTTTTCTTAAGATTAGACATCAACTTAACTCATTGCAAACAAATTCAGAAAGATCCTGATATAAAATAACTTTAGATAATGATAATTAATCTTTATAATTCTTTTCGATAAATATTAAAATTGAGTATTATCTCATCTGTATTTTAATTACTTGCGCAACACTTTTTCTTGACAAACTCATGTGAATTCGTCTCTGGTGAAAGATGGAATGTGGATGATTCTGAATAACTACGACTTGTTACACTTCTTCTTATTAAATTTCTACCACTGCCATTACTAGAGCTCTTTCGAATAAACTTAGGTAACCGAGTCTCTTGATTTTTATGCATGATAACCGTCGTTAAAGCAACCATAGCTTCATGTAGGTTATAGGCGCCCTTAGCACTAGTCTCGGTGAAAAGAGCATCGTTGTCCTAGAAGAGAAAACAACATACCATTGCTCGAATTAATAACCTATCAAAATTTACAAATTTGACCACAGGCAGAATTCGTTTTTGTATATTTTATAGTTGATTTTCTGCTTATAATTCATTTCAGATATAAATAAATCATGATCCTTACTTTAGCTAATTTAATTCCATCTTTATACTGAACTCGTCGATTTTTATCGGCTAAATCTGCTTTATTTCCTATAATCATGACCGTTGCATAGTCTTCTTTACCATCCTGTGGTATCGTTAGATAAATAACAAAAATATTCAATACACTGATATTTCCACATTCAATTTTTAATTAATTTAAATAAGCAACAAGCAATGGATGAAAATTAAGCAAAAAAATTTCCTTATATCGTTTTATTTAATACGATAGCTCAATTACTTGCAAAAACTACATAAATTATTGAATTGCAATCTTTATCAAGTAAAACTTCTTACTTCAACGCTAAACATCCATTCTCGTAGGCTGGCATATGATAATGGATTACTTAAATCATACACCATGACAATTCCATCCGCTTTTCGAAAATATGATTTGGTTAAACTTCGAAATCTACAGAAGTATTCACGACAACAATTAAAAATTAGGTATGATTAATCTTAAACAATAACGTATTAATTCTCGTTTTTAAACATCAGCTGAATTAAAAAGTATTACTAGATATATTAAATATCAATATTGTAGACGAAAATAGCGAAATAATCTTATAAAATATTCAACAACTTAAAATTAATTATTTCAAAATCTATAATATCAGCAATTTCTAAACCTAGTTCTACCATAGTGGATAATAATTTACTCTTCTGCTATTTTAGCTATTTATACATTGATTAGACAATAATGACGAAATAATCTCGCAGAATATTTTACTACAAATCTTAAAAATAAGCAATTTAAATCTAGCTAGACGAAATTTAAATAATAATTCCTATTATATTGACATTATTTAAAGATATAGCAGATAGTAATTAAGAATTAATTTCGTCAACTATTTTACTTTAAAATCTTAAATATCAGTGATTTAAATGTAGTTTTGCCAAAATTAAATAATAGTTTATTCTCACTCTATTTATTTTTTTATTAATAATTGATAAAGCAAAAATCTCAAATACATCATATTAGAGCATTATTGTAAAATCTTAAAATCAGCTATTTAAATCTACTTTTACCTAAACTAAGTAATAATCTATTCTCATTCTATTTTTTAAATAAAAGATAAAAGCAAAAAAAACTCAAATATATCATATTAGAAGCACTATTGCAAGATCTTAAAATCAGCGATTTAAATCTAGTTTTGTCGTAACTAAATAGCAATTTATTCTCATTGCGTTTTTAAATCACTAGTAAAAGGGAAAATCTCAATTGTATAAGATAGAGGCATTATTGATATCTAGCGAATAGCAAAAGGCGAATGAGCCTTCAGACTGTTTTACCTTGTCAATGAAAATTTGTAAGTAAAACAATTATCTTACCTTTCGTGCCCTGCTGTATCCCACAATTGAAGCATAATTTCCATTCCATTAATGATTAAATTCTTAACTTGAAAATCGATAGCAATAGTAGCGCTATAACTACTATTAAATTGATCGGTGCAAAAACATTGAACAAAACTAGATTTTCCAACACCGGAATCACCAACAAAGACAATTTTGTATTCTTTTTTCTTCAATAGCATATATTGCGTTTCTTGCAACTATATTTAAATAATGGAATATCGATTAGCGCTAAATAGCAATGATATTTAATAGAGACCTTACGTAAATATTTATCTATAGAATTGATATTTTCTATTTGTATAGAATATACTGATGCTTACATCTTCTATCGGCTGAGGAAAATGAATATCTGGTAAAGAACCTCCATCATGTTGACCTTGTGCTACTGCCACTTTCTTGATTTCTGTCATTTCTGTCCAAACTTCATCATCACTCGTAGTAGAAGACAACATTTGCTTTCGTCTTTCTTTAATGCCTCTATTATTCTCAGTCTTACTTTTATCCACCTCAATTTCAGGCTTAGGGTCTTCGTTAGTTTGCGGTATATCTTCTTTAGCACTATTTTGTGATTGACTACTAGTGTTAGACACATCCATTTGGCTCGAGACCCTGTCTTGCTTTTGTAAACTCTTTTCTTCGTCAGAACTATTTTGTTTTGCATCCAACTCTTCATTATCATGACTAATCTCTAAAGGATGCTTATGATAAACAGTGTCACAACTTCCAGTTGAACTTGCTATATTGGTATTGCTTTCATGATAACTTTGAGGGCTACCTTTCCCAAGTGATAAGTTCTCTACTGACTTAGATCTTTCTTCCACTGGGGATATTCTAGCCTCGTCTGGACAACTCCATGTTCTATTATTTTGCCGAATAGAAGCTGAATCTTCTTCCTGTAAGCTTTCCATTGAACCATTTACACTAGTTACTAAGCTATTCATGTTGCTATTCAGTGGACTTTCATCATCATCAGTAGCCATGGAACTAAATAAACCCAAGGATAAAAATGGTCGTGAACATAGAATCAAAAATTAGCTCAATTCTTCATATTCGATTTCAGAAAACGTAATAGGTAGTAATTTTAGCATATGATAGTAAAATCAAAAACTAGAGCAATTTATGACATTCGCTCTCGAAATAGGCAGTAAGTAAAACATATGTAAATAAAATCATAAACTAAATTTATGACATTCGATCTTTGAAAGCGAAATTGGGAGTAAGTAAAAGCATATGAATATAGAATCATAAACTAGCGCAATTCATGGTATTCGATCTCAGAAGGCGAAATTGACAATAAGTAAAACATATGGAGATTAAATCTTAAACTAACACAGTTTATGGCGATCGATCTTAGAAATGGAAATAGGCCGCAAATAAAGCGTATTAAATAGGATCATAAGCTAGCACAATTTATTGTATTCGATCGCAGAAAGCGAAAATTAGAGGGAATTTCTCTCTAAAATCAGAGGTTACGCTTGGCTTGACCTTCATTAGGTAATCGAAGAGGCCTTGTAAAAATTATAGAGTTGGCTAAATTACAGGAAATGTTTGAACTAGTTGTATTGTACCATTAATGACATTTATACCTAACTACTTCTCTGAAATTAAAAATCCGTGGTAAAAAAATAGCTAAACGTTTCAAAACGAAAGAATAAAACAATTTTACATTACTCTTAACTTACTCTTGCCGTTTTCGGCCATGAGGGAAATACTTTGACATTAAAGAACCAGCTCTAGACAATGGACGATTCCCACCAACTAATCTCTAGCAAACAAATCAAGATAGATATAAAGGAAGAGCTCGATTTTTTGACATATTATTATATGACATAACTAAATTTGAAGAAATTAAGTTTTAGTGAGCTAAAAAAAGATGTAAGATCAAAATAACGTGCAATACAATCATAGTTACCTTTGCTAACGTGGGACTACCCTTCTGTTGTCCATTTATATGTGAATGATTTTCAGCTTTCCAGCTGTCTGGCAGTATGGAGGCCTGTAAATTTTTAATCTTTAAATGCTATGATCACTAATCTTTACTACCAGTTTATTTTTCTCCACCCTATCTTGATTAGCTTACCTGGATAGACCGATTACCATTTGTAGCTGGAGGGCTACTATCATGTATTAATGCATCTTTATCATCTCTTAATTTTTGATTCATTTCCCTAAGATTATTTTTTTAGTATTTAGCGTAGAAATACTGCCAGTAAAAAGTTTCCTTAACTGTTCTATCGTTATGATATCACTTAGATTGTCAGTATTGCATTAAAAATTATTTAAAAATCTGTAGCTAACAAATTCATATATCAATTAACAGGCATACGAGCAAAGCAATTATTGCTAACTACACATAGGATATACCCATATTAGAAAAACAAAAATTATCGATTATTTAGATACGAATGAGATAGTTTCTCTTAATCCAACACAAAGATCTCTCAACGGATAATAATAAGAAAATTTGTAACGAATCTCAACTACTCACTCTTGTACATTGAATAATGGATCTGTATACATGGTATATAGGACTAAAATATAAATAGAACTACAAGCAAATTCTGAGAATTTACTCATGCAAATTTCGGAGTAAATAGAACAGAAATACTTACCTGAAGGAATGCATTCTTTTAACTGTCATTGATTTACATTCAAACTTTAATTCATGATAACTATTGCTTTGGCTTTACTTACTGTAATTTTGTTAATTGCGTCCTGAGGCTTTCATGTTCTTTGGCTAATCCAGCTGACATACGAAGTGTTGTCCTGTAAGTAGTTTCAATAAGTCAGAGATAGGCTGTAAATGTTGACTATCATCTTACGAAGTAAAAATTAAGGCTTTAGGAGAAATGAATGATAGGATTTGGCTAGTACAGAATAGTAAGAGCATACTTAATTCTAGCCTTTCTTTGCTTTTCACTTTCCTCTGCTAATCTCTCTATATCTCTCTGTCGAACTTTAACTATCTCTTGTGATTCTTTTAATAATTTTGATAGATCTCGATTTTCCTAGTGTAGTAGTACAAGCATAATAATCAAGGATAATAGATAGCCTTGGATGACGATCTATCTACGAGATATACGTAGTAGAGAAGGTGCAATAGGATACAATGCTTACTTTCAGTAATCGTTCCTTTTCTTCTTTATGTTCATCTTCCACGTTTGATAATTGTTCTATCCTATGTCTTAACTGTGTTTTATAATTAGTATAATAATGAGTTAAAATGGAAATATTAAAACTCTAGTATACGTGTAGAAACGGTCTTTAGCTGGAAATATCTACTATTTCATGATATTACGTTACTAATTACACCAAATATTAAAGTCTTTCTCAATCATATCAATGTTTGTACATATTTACATGACTAATAATAATTTAATTCGAACTAGATATAAATTACTATTACTATAAACCTTACTCGAAAAATACCGAAAAGTTTACAAAAGTACGCTAATATTTTGTATCGTATACGACAATAACGCTGATATGATTCCGATATATGTTTAATAGCTATTCCTAAGATTCTATCTCAGTAAGCACGGGTATCCATAGTTTACAAGAGATATATTAATATTCTGCACCGTATGCTATGACAATGTCGATATGATTCGGATATACGTTTAATGGCTATTTCTAAGATTCTATCTCGATAATTACGGGTATCAATAACGTTTACACACCTTTTCTTTGGTGTTAATGACTTCTTGTAATAATCTATTTCGTTCGTTTAGTTCTTGTTGTAATTTTTCGCGAATCTTTCTTTCCTTTACCTCCTCCTATAGATCCAAAAGTAATGATATGTCTTAGCGACCATGTTATAAAGTTAATTTTTCACGATATGTAATTGAAGAAAGTAACAACTATATGCAGTAAAGTAAAGAAGAAACTTTTGAAATCTAATCTCCTTAAGCAGTTAGAGTTAATTTTAATCCGTAATTCAGGTATTGCGGTACCTCTCTTTTAGCTTTTTCTCTCTCTTTAATGATTTGTATTTCCATTTCATCAAATAAAGACTTCATAGCATTGTCGTATTCTTCATATTTACTACATTTTTCCAAAAAATATGAAAGAAGATTTAAGCACGGGGCATATCATAAATTTATATTCTTAACTTGGTCAAAACATCATCAATATTTTCAAAAATAAAAAAATATTTCTTTATTCTTTACTAATGAAGTATTAATAATGCTTGATCACCGCATAAAGTTTTCATTATTTCATAGTGTTAGCTATCGAATCATTCTTTCAAGAGCAAATAGTAAACCTTACTCTACTAAAACTGCTGGTAATTAGAAGTCAATTAACTTTAAAATATTACTTTTTTATTCTATACTATAGTACAATAAGCTACAATGGAAGAAACTAATTCTATAGTAGCAATAAAGAGAAGAGTATTCAATAGAAGTGTATATCAACTGATGAATAGCATTATCATAAATTTTAATTAAATATCAATTGATATTTCCTATATACGAGTACCGCATGTCTTGCTATGAGAACAATATCTTTGGTGGTACATGATTATTATAGTTAAATTGATTACAGTAATGAATTTTAAGCTAAATACAAGAAATTAGATCGAAAAAAATATCTCGATAACGCTACATGTAAAATCTTCTACAACTATAGCAGATAAAGTCCAACTTTTATTCCCTATAAATAGACCTCATATAATACCGGTATATCAAAATAATAATAGTTCTGCCATCGATGTGCTCGTATTTCACTTACTTTCTTAGCGCATTTTCTAAATGATCAGAGTTAGTCTTGGCTTCTTGAATATCGAGAAAAACTAATTCAACAAATTCTTCAAATAGCGGCGACATATTAGGATCATTTCTGACTTTTGGCCATATTATTTTTAGCAGTTTCTCGTACCTATAAAGTAATGATTATCATATTCAGTTCTTACGAAAGTCTTCAATTTACCCATCATGTAATACTGAACAATTTATGATTATTTTCTTATTACTACATCAACATCCGCTAATAGGCTTATTCATTAATTAATTATCAGTGGCCACATTTCTATTCAGTCATAAATCACTGAAAATAAATATAAGGCCACCTGAGGTTTAGCTCAAGACACTATTCTGCTACTATAATTAATGAAGCCAAATTTAGTGATTGATTAATCATTCTATTGCAACGGTGAAAACATGAGAATAGTAGCAAATAACTGCCGCCCATAATAAGCATCTAAGACAGAATTTATATTCAACGGTAATTTAGCTACTAGATGGTATTTTCTTGATATAGATCAGCAGTTAAACTAGAGTTATCTTGTCAGCTAAGCTGTCTACTGACATGGTTTGCAAACATGATCGTATAGATTACTTGCAATTACTAATTATTCCCCAAAATGTGAACTTATATGATTTAGCATCGCCGGAAGTAGTCACGGTAAAAGGATCTTAGCCAAATAGGATGCTGCTAATTAAATTAATTTTCTCTTCATATATCGAAAACTTCTAACACGTCAATATCCAATAGACTAGAAAACGATTCGTATTTTAATACTCTCTATTCCTTTTCATCATTACCTATCGCATCAATTACTCATGTATAAAAACAACGGGTTAATACGCTCCTAAAATCAAGTTATTCAAAGCTATTACTGTATATTATCATCTTTTCACGTTCGTCGAATATAATATTACGATCAAGAGTAACATAAGGATTTGTAATTAAGTTATACCGTTGTCTTACTGTAAAAAAAAAAGATCATTTACATTATTCTGTCATCCCTACTTATGCCGTTAAACCCTCCCTTGAGTGATTCGCTTACTGAATCGATACTATCCAAGTTTCCTGCTTGTATTTTAATACACTTTGACGTGTATTGAAAAGTTAACGAGTAAAAGAACCCAGAAATTAACTAATTGTTAGGCTAAGAAAGAAAGAACGAAAAGATATTACTAGATTTGAAAGGAATCAAATCTCCAATGACCTTCTTCATTCATCGACTAAAATACAGTGCTCTAATGCCCGATCCGTTACATTATAGTTAAGATAATAATGTTGTTGTCGTATCGGACAATCAATGGAGCAGATCTTAAGGTAACAATAATAAATGACATCTTATCATAGGATTACGATATAAATAAACAATACCCTTCTCTTTACCATATTATTTCTTTCTCATCATTATTTAATCTATTGTGGAAAATGACTAGAGATGTTGGCGACAGTAGGCACCGTATTGAAGATAGTTTATAGTTCAGTCGGGATGGATTCGATATTTTATCTGTCTATCAATATGTACCAGGCCCAAGTAAGATATCCGAAATAGAGTATTAATTAATTCTTTCAAATTAGTAAGCAATAAGCAATGACAAGTGATGATATTGACCGGAAATATCGACTTTTGTACCCAGCCTTCTCTTTTTTTACTTTGACACATCTAGTGTAAAAGTGACATCAACGCTCATCTCGCATTAAAATGTCCAGATATACATATGTAAAAAATCTTGCACGATGGCCATTTTCATCGCTAAGCTCTATAGCCGATTCATATCGGGAAGTTCTACGAATGAAATGAGGACGACATGGCAATCTACAGTATTAAAACGAAAAAAATGATTGCTATTCTAGGCAATATACACCCACCATAACATCTTCCCTCATCTTAAATATCCTAATATGCATATGTGCATAAGCATGACTATATACTGCTAGTCCAATAGATGGCAGCTGCTACACGAATAGAACTCAGGGCGATGTGGCAATCTATCCAGTGAAAAATAATGACAACTACTCTACGGAAGATACAATCTAACATTATGATTTAATGATTTCTTTGATATAGCGAAGCACAGTATCGTCTGTAATTGAGAATTTTCTTTCTCAATTCTCTGTTCTATTTCTGTGCCGTAACGTTCAATTGCTAGGCTGGATAGAGCAATTGAAAGACCCAAAGTAAAAAACAAACTAGTTTGAACTCATAAATTATCTTTGACTTTTTATGCAACATTTCTCTTTACGAGTAAAATTGACTTTTCTCTGTCTGCAAAGATGCTATCGATCATATCTTTTTCCAAACTAATGTGAAACCTCAAGTTCTGAATAAAATTAGATCGAAAATTATTTTAAGAGTTTCAATTTGTGATACGGTATATTCTATTTCCGAATAGAATACGTATACAGCATTCTACCCCGAATTTCTATTTGTTTGTAATGATTATTAAGTACGGTATGCGCCTTCCGCAATGATTTTGCTCCTAGATAATATCGGACGAAGATATTAAGATCTTGTCTGCTTAATTTATTTTATCTAACATTTTCTAATACTGACAACTTATATGATCTATGTAGCTTTAATTATCTAAGTGATATTTAATCGTCGCATCCCATTTGTCGAATTAATTTTTACCGGCACTCAGTAAATAAATATTACGTAAGATGAATATAAAAAACGATCACCTGAGACAGCTATAAAATGTAGCAAGTTTTTTATCTTAAATATTAGTGACATTATTTTTGCATAGGTAGACAATAACTGGCGGAAGCTTTTAGAATGATTAGTGGGGTTATCAATAGTTTAGATGTTACACCGACTACTTTATACTTTTAAGGAAGAGATAATTCGGGTAACATAGAAATATGTTGGCAGCAAATGTCTATTCGATAACCTTGGCAAGAACGAGGTAAAATTTTGGATTAGATTAAAATTAAGTACTGGGGTACAGTAATGAATTGAGGGAAAGTGATCTATACGGTAGCCAGCTAAAGCTTTCATTGCTAAGAGAAAGGCAAATAAATTCCAATTAATTACCATACACAGACGGTCAACGTTATGGCCTGAGCAATTAGGGCACTGTTAAATTTAAAATGAATTATATAATATCTAGACCACGATGTTTATATCCTGTTGTTGTCCACTAATCACAGGCAAAGACCCCCATCTTGCTTCCGAGCTATTCATTCGCGGAAGGAATTTTATTAATATCGAAAAAGATTAACGTAGCATGTTTGATCCATTGACATACTAACTGTAAATGTATCCGACAGTATTCACTTTATCTAGGGGATTAGGTGTAAGATATACGCAGCTGGTTGGCTTACTTCTTGAAAGATGACAAAGAATGCCAACAATAATGATGATTCATAATGCATATAATAAAAGCAGCAGGCACTGTCAGCAACAGTAAATGATAATAACGTGCTTTTAAGATTTTTTGTCTTATTATCAAGACTTAAAATGAGATTAGGGAATTATGCAACGTATTTCAAGATACGTAGCTGACTTTACGATCATGATTGTTGGAAATGGACGACGATGATAAAATAATATTAAAGACTAAAATCTAGATGAGGACCAGGTGGGGATGATAATTTGGCACAGCTCTTGTTTACTACTAACAAGTTATACGCCAATCGCAAACATGAAGTCTGATAAATATGGCTTCTTCCTGTCATAGTACAGTATAGAAATTGACAAATCAACGTTAACACGAATCAGCGGTTAAAACTAAGCTATGTTCATTGATGACACCTAAAGTACAGATTTGTACTCACGTCGTATCAGGTACTCGGGAAATGAATAGAAATATCATAAAACATTAGGTACGACTACTTGATTTAATCAAGCAGTGACTACGATCATCGATGGCTACGAATTCGTATTGAGTAAGGAAATCATATAGAGTTAAATGAAGTGCTAAATGGCAGGGGAAAAGATAACTCCAGAATATAAAAATAATATAAACTACAAATCAGACTCGTCTCTTGCATTGCTATCATTGTCTATCATCTATTGAAAATCTATCGAAATAACCGAGTGTATTTAACGTTTAGTTGATTAATCTGCTGCAGCTATCATTTATAGAATATCTTAGTAACCAATTAATTTGCTGTAGAATTAAAGTTGATTATTAATTCTTGAATGCTGAATTGCAGTAAAATGAGTATTTAGTATGCAAAGTAATTTCTTAGAAAGAAATCAATATGGATATGAAATAGCCATAAAATCATTAACCAATCCTCGGCTGTTTTTAATGAAAATACAGGTAAATTGAATATGGTCATATTCGTATGTTCCTTGTATCAGAGCTTAATAGCTAGAAGAAACTTATTCAGAATTACTTAAAGACCGTTGTAAATGTGAACATTGGAATTGGTTTTTGAACTAATTCTACCCTAACAAATTATTCACTAAAAATATGGTCAGGAATGAACTAAGGGAAGAATGCCAAGTAAAATGATGGCGATATGACTGTGATTTAATTTAAAATTGTTGGCTTAGCTGTTAGAGAACCACGCCGTTATAGACTGCAGCTAATTTTAAAATAAGAAGATAAATGTATAATCTCAAGTAGAATGAGTCATAGTTCGTGAAATGGATAATATGGTCGTTAATATAAATTATCGAATTATTTCCACAATAGCTTCATTCGATTCAAAGGGTCCCAGAAAAAAAAAATCAATCAAATGGATATCCCTAAGCAAAACAGTAATATAACAACTTACTTTGCATTGTTTCTCATTCCCATTTCCGATAGAAATTCCTCAATTTCAGCATCTGTTGTTGCATCGCCACTTAAATCACATTCAAAGACGGTATCTTCCTGATCGATTGCCGACTCAGCATTGGCGATGAGGCTATTTATATTATGATTTCTATACGTGGTTAACTCCTGTTCTTGGTTTATGTTTTCAACATTTGGCAACGCGTGTTCTTTATCATCCGTACTTGCTTCATTTTGGCCATGAGATTGAGTACCACCACCTAAATTTTGGCTCAAATAAGTACTTAAGCCATCGACAAATGCTTCCATCGTCAGGTAACCCTGCCCATCTTTATCTAATGCCTCAAATATAATACCCATTTGTTCCGATGGAATAGATAATTGATCTTTTTGAACTAATAGATCATCGAGTGTGATATAGCCCTGATTATCTGGATCACATATTGAGAACAATTCTTGTAATTTCTGCCGAATTAAGTGATGCATTTCTTGCGTTGACAAGTCTTCCATGACTGACCAACATGAAGTCTTGCAGCAACAACCGGTATAATTTATCGTCACCAGGATTTCAATCGAAATCGATGTGGGTTTTTCAACTTGGATGGGTTAAAGTAGCCAAAAAAATATTGCTAGCTGGAGCTAACACGATAATAGCCAAGAGATCTCGACGATCCCAATTCTATTGAAGTGCTTGTATATGTGTATTCTTGAATCGGTTAAGGAGAATTCAATAAGAAAATAAGGAGCGAACAATGCTAAAAAATGAAGCCATGATTGAATAAAATCAGAATCCTCAATGTTGATAGAGAAATATTGTATCCTAACATTAAGATTAGTACTAGAAACTGAATAATAAACGACGATTTTTCAATCTTTAGATATAAAATTTCTATCATAAAGTTTTACCTTGCGCTACTTTCCTCAACGGGGTTGCTATTAAGTTATCAATATGACGTTTTAAACGTGATTAACTTAATCGTACACTAATTTCTTGTCCACCTTGTACTCCTTATTCTACCTTGCCTTTGTGTACAGTCACGAAGACAAAGGCAAATCATAAAAAAAATTAGACTAATATGCTAGATAAAAAGTTATACACACAAGTCAAGAATACGTTGTAACCAGTGACAATAAAGTAATTCTGAATTTTCAATCGATAGATAAATTGATGTTATCTCCCTGTTGCCAATGTAATTTCTAAAATAATTACCAATTAAGAATGGATACAATAGTTATACTTTTAATTACAAAATAGTCATTTTAAAATGATCTATTAATATAAAGGTAATGGACGAATGAAACAATGATTATTATTAAAATAACTATTGGCTAACTGAGCTGTCTATGCTATACGTTGAGTTATTATTCTAGCTTTCCGTTACAGTCATCAAGTAATTCCCCAAATCGATCACTATTGATAGTCATTAGCATAGCTGTATTATAGCCATTTCCATGCTTCTAGTCTAAACTACTTCTCGAATTAGCATAATCACTTTGCGTATTAATGGCCTACCTGACGTCATAGTAAGGGGAAGGAGTTATGCTGATCAATGATTGTTATTCTCATTGACTAGACGAACATTTTAAGGTTATCTTCTATAGCTTTGCCGGTTAATAATTTCACAGCATATTGCCGTAGATGCTTTCTCACTGCCTTGTACAATGATAGTATAATAGACAAGGGGCGGTTTGTTGATACTGACCATCACAATAAAATATGCAAACAAGACAATGATAGAAGAATAAAAAACTGACATGTGAACTAAAGAAATTAAGAGAGAATACAATCTAGAATAGTGATCGTTAGTTTGCTAGGAAATCACCTATTACAGATAGAATATTCTAGGATAGCTTTGATCAGAATGGCTACATCTACATCAATTTAGTAGATAGATTAGTATGTTCCAGTCTAATCTGCTTATAATCAAGTAAAGAACTGGGGCACAAGGATCATTTATGTATTCGATATTAACTATGCTGTATGCACATGCAATCTAGTTTTGCTATAACGCTGCAGCTTAGTAATCGCTTTCAAAAATATAAAATTACTTAATTCAGATCTACAGTCATATTATTGTAGATAATTGTTTACAATAACATTTCTAGAACCTTTTAAAAGTAAGAAATGGCCTCAATTTGAACTGCATTTACGCAATTTTCATACGTCAGGATTTAGCAAAACGTCAACAAATGACTTCATCTGTTACCTCCAATTAATAATGGCCGCAAATAAGAAACTAAGGTCAAATATATTGATCTCGCCTTATTAGTAAGGCTATAATCATAGATGTAAGTAGCTAGAAGAATGATTAAAATAACCTAAGTTAATCGAATCTTCCGCAGTTTTACAAATTCCGATCAGATACCCTACTACAAATTTGCACTAGCTCCCTAAAACAGATATAGTTCAAATCTCAACGTCCAAATTTCAAGAATAAACAGCTGTACCTATTCCAAATTCCAACTTTAATAGAGTCGAGCAAAGCTTCAGCAAACATCGCCAAATTCGGGTAATTTAACGATATGCAAATAATGCTATTTAAACAAAGATGGTTAGGTCAGTAAGGTATCGCCTAAGTTTGCATTATCCTTCACATCGAGACCATCTGCACATGTAATGACTATCCTGGTGAACAGTTAAATTTTATACTTGCAGTATAAAATTCATAACAGCAGTTTCGGTGAAAGACAGTTGTCGTTTAACAGCTATGAACAATAAGAATTTCAATGCGCATTTATCATTGACATAGAATGACGCATAAATGCCATGTTTTGCGGGCAAAAGTCAAACACCCACGCCTCATTCCAGATTCAACGTATTTGATAGTCAAATAATTTTAAGTGAAACCTGTCATTACAGCATTTCAGGCATATACATTACATAAGTAAATATGTCCTATGCAGTCTAAAAAGCATTATTTTATTAATTCCGTAATTGTAAAGTTTGCTAACACTTTATATTACCTATACATGCTTAAGTTTGAAACATCTAACTTCTTAATAGATCAATATTCTATATAGTGTCCTATTATCCGTTATTTTCAGTACAAGATACTAAAAACGAGTATTGCTAGCGCAGTGTGTGTAAAAAGTTGCATATCACATACATTGCAAGAAAACCATATTCACAGTGTATATGAAATTTTCAGAGTACATGTAGGCAATAAGACGAAATTCATTTTTAATAACTAGTTGAAGCAACGCTCCAATTGGAATTGTCTTTTATGTAATCACTGTAACTGCAAAATATCAATAAATTGTGTATTTTTCTATGTAGGTGACAGTATCTACAACTAAAGATATACCTCCAATTTTTTAATAGCTACGCATGCACCGACTTCTGGATCAGCGTACTGTAGTAGCGACAGACAGGCAACTAGACATCATATCTATACGTACTACACATATCAATACCTTGATAGAACAATTACAAGTTTATCCATCTTGTACGAATAGATCTACTTCGATTCAATAAAATAAAATGTTAACTAACAGTAAATTACAAATATAATGGAACTGATTAATTGTAATCATCAATAAAATATAATATACTGTAATTACACCTTTTGGACCTATAAAATAGAAGGATTTTTGCAAAGGTAATAACCAGTTTGACGGTCATTGATTATAAAAAATTTCTCCTGTTATAATAATAACGCGTTGTATAAGTTATAAAACATCTAATTCAACATTAAATGACAATATAGACAGTAGCCTAACGATTATTCTGCTACGTTACCCAAGCTAATAAATATTACAGATTGTATCATTTAACGTACAACTTTTACTTGCTATATTAATAAGCTTCCATATCTCTCCCAAGTTTCGATCGATTTTGCCGCTATGGCTTCACTTCTGTCATAGGGAATCTATTTAAGTATGATAACGTGTCAGATAATGCAATTGAATGCTATAAACAACAATTGCTAACATTATTTTTTCAAGGTTAGGTGACATACATTGACTATTTTAGGTAGCATTTCGATTTCGTTGCATGTCATAATAGATTCTTTGAAAGATATCAAAATAGTAATAGCTACAAACAACAAAATAAGTCTGGAACCAGCGATAACTTTATCCAGGATCCTATAACACATATGTCAAAATTTTTTATTGCAGTCGTTAACATAATAGGATGATTTACATATCATTCAATGAACAAAATCACTACCGATGTAATGTAGAATCTTGTAGTATTCCAGCATAACAGGTTTCAAACCACCTATATAAAATTAAAGTTAAAGACAATAAGCTGGCTTTAAGTGTTTTCCAGTATACATTACTTTCGAATGTGCAAATAAGTGTATAGAGTTTGATGTTCATTACTCTGAGAGTGGCAATGACGGTAGAATCTTTGAGCTATCAAGAAATTGATAAAGATCGTGGTCTTCTAGCTCCAGGAAGTGTTGCATTTGAAGTTGCTAAAATAATTTAAAACATTAATATAGCAGCAAAGAAGCAATAAAATTAATTATTTACACAAGCATTCATAGTCTAGCAAGTCATGGAGTACAGCCATCTGCTAATAATATCATTTTGCAACGACATTGTAGTACAGTGAAAGATGCATAATAACTGAAAATTTACCAATGCCTTCGTATATGTTGACCACTTTTGCTGTAACTTTACAAACGAGCGAAATATCATATAGGCTTCTTCTTCTAGCTTAACAACATTAAAAATTAACCGGGCAAGCGGTTTTATAGGTTCACTCACAGTATAAAAATCCTATACGAATTTAAAGAGCAAATATTTATGAAAAGGATGTAATTTAGCCCGTTAGAATGCTATTTCGTAATCTATGGTATTAAAATCGTTGTTATGTATAATAATATAATCAAAGTAATGTAATACTTGCCTGATAAGTATTTAGGTTAATATTTTGCTCTAATGAGTAAACGCTAATTAACAAATTGGGCTTGTTGGATTCGTCAACAGATTTATTCGTAATCAAAGCCGCACGTTTAAGATCATGATATGATTCCTTTAACTGAGTCGTTATAAATGTATGACATTCTCGGTGTTTCGGTAAAATTCCTATATGAAGTAATGCTATATCCTGAGAATAAATAAGCTTTACTGGTATCAATTTATTGTATTATTATTTCTAGTATAAGTAGGCTTAGGAACATTCAATCTTTTCTTTCAGTAACACTTATACTATCATCGATATCCGAAATCGATGAGATCACATTGCAACTATTAGCAAATATTTTGCTTTCTGAATGAGTACTGTGAAATAGTTACACTACAGTATAAATACTTTAAAGTAAATACTAATTTATTCAATTAATGGTTATTAAAGCATCACTTACAATGGTTTACAAAGTAACTTACCTAATAGCAGTTCCCACATAATTACACGGTATTTGGCTGGAATATCAAATTTAAGTAGATAAGTTGAGATACCTTTTATATCTTAAAGTATAATAAGAAAGCAAAACTGAGTTATTCTTTTACTCCAGTAAAGAAGTAATTTATGTTTATTGCATTACGCCCACAGCTTCATA